GACAGAAAGGTACCAATTGCATCTTTCTCATACTATAATAACGTACTGATCGATAGGAATAGCAAAAGCCGCGATATGCACCAGCTTAAAACACGACGGAGAGAATGATTCAAGCCGCGTTGTCAAATTGATTAGTATCATATGGTTGTTCTGCTTACGTAAAATATTGAAATAGTAAAATTGATGATTTTATTTAATGTATTTACACTATCTGTCAACGCAGCCACTTGTTTTTGTACATTATGAAATTTGTGATAAGAGATTTATTTCCATCTGCTTTCTACTACGTAAATTATAAAACAGCATGTATAATTTCACGTGCTTGTGCACTCAGAACGGGATTTTTAAAGTGCTTAGATTTGGCAACGTCTAAAAATGCACTACTGCGACTCTAATGTATTAAAATCCAAATGATCACCTCGAAAACCGGACTAAACTAAGCTCTGCTCTTCTACTCACTGCGCATAGAATCTTGGCGGCTTCTGCCGTATCTGTCGTAGTGTACTAAACAATATGCTTGGGAAATTTTTTTTGTAAAAGATATAGAGATAATTCTAGAAACAGTTGCCAGGCAATGAAACACAAAAATAAAATAAAAATATAAAAATTAGAAACAAAATTATAATATATATATATATATATATATATATATATATATATATATATATATATATATATATTTTTAAAATGGATCACTATGTAGGTATGTTTTGTTTTTTGGAATCTGTGGCTTAAATTACATATGACAGTGTTGCTAAATTTCCAAATAATTTTTTTTAGGTAGACAGTAATGAACTGGAAAATAATGTACTAATAGTTTCGAATAACTCGAAACAAAAGCTATTTTACCAATTGAGTTAAAAATAAATAATTCAGATAAAAATAAATTTCTAAAACGTGTTCTTTTACCAAAATCTCGATTTTTTAAATGTCACCTATTGAGGGCCATTTAGTCATTATATCTTACCGATCTGACAATATGCACTATGTACCACTTAGAATATTATTTACCAGCTCATGGACTTCTACCAACAAAAAAAATTTTTTAAAAGAATAAAATTTTTATTATAGAAAATTAAAATATGGCAACTCTGTCATATGTAACTTGAACCTAAGATTCCAAAAAACAAAATATACAAGGTGGTCCATTTAAAAAATAAAACTTAATAGCATTGTCGATAAAACCGTTGTTTAATTATAAGTATCGATTTGAAATTATGAATAGTATTGACACCTCATAGGTCAAATGGCGTTACCCTCAAAATGTAAATTTTACAGGAGAGTAAAAAACCTAATATAATTTAAACTAAAAACATCTGGTAGGTGATATAATACATTTTATCATGATTATTTTGAGGCACTAAATTTAGGTTGCTGGTTACATTCTACTACTGGTCTACTAATGATTTTGACCCCGTTCATCCAAAATGAGGGTTAAACCCATAATTTTGAAGGTTACGCTTTTTGATCTATGAGGTGTTGGTATAGTTCTTTCAGGTTTTCCAGGTTTTTCAGGGTTTCACAGGTTTCCGAGGTTTTTTTCCAGGTTTACAGGTTCTTACAGGTTTTCACAGGTTTTTCCAAATTTGAAATTCGCTTAATAATTATTAAAAGAGATATTAACGTGGCCCTGGACTTTCCTATTTTCACCGGTTGAGGGTTGCCAACACCTCTGGCACATATACCTACTGGATGACACTTTAAAAACGAGCAGCATACAGCATTCAATATATTTTAAACTGATAACATTATCATAATTTAAGACACAGGTCAATTTACATACCAAGGGGGCGCCAACTGTTAATGTAGGTATTTGTTGTTATATTACATTCAATCCCTCATCTCCCAGGGCACCTACCATTAAAATTTTAAATAGCAACTACCACTTATTTCGTCATTTTTGAAATTCTTATGTAATTCTCGATGAATTACAGATTTTTTTTTAATTGAAGTACCTAGCCTCACAAATGAAGAAAACTTTTTATACATTTCATAAAGTAATCAGGTTGGGCTAAGAATTTAAGTATATCACAACCTTCATTATCATACTTTGGTCTGAGAAGAGCAACGTCGAGAAGTGACAAAGTCGTTCCCACAAAAAATGGAGTGGGGGGGGGGGGGGGGGGGGGGGGGCAGACAACACACCAAATCCCAGAGATATCTGCAGAATATCTTTTGTGGATATCCAATATATCCACAGGATATCAGAAATATTCGGTGGATCTAATATGGATATCCAAATGTCCGTCTATATCCAGGATATAGAAGATATCCTAATGGATATTTAGCAAAATATCTAATGGGTATCTTCCAGAAAATACAAGAAATCACAGAGATATCCACAGAATATATTTTGTGGATATTCAATATATCCAATATGGATATCCTACCAAATGTCCGTCTATATCCCAGGATATTCACCAAAATATTTTATGGGTATCTTTAGTAGAGGTTCATAAGTAACCAATGATTATTGAATAACGACGAAAGAAAATAGCAGAGATTAAAAATATTTTCAACACTCTGCCTTTGATTTTGCCCACTAAGGAGAAAGTCATCCTTATTAGGACTCTTCAGCAATAGATGGAAATTCTCGACTCCAGCCTCTAATGGAGTCTGTAGGACAAAAATTTCGATCGAACTCTATTACGGCGGTTCGAGCATGAGTAGATGTGATAGTCGTATCGCCATCTACACTTAGTAAGCTGAATCAAATAACATCTAGTGGATATCCTCGATGGTTTGCGTTCGCGCCTAGACTTTAATATATTTAGTGGATGTTCATGGGATATTGAATACACCTTAAAAAAATGAATTTTAAATATCTGAACGGTACTATTAGCCACAATGGCGAGAACAATGGCGTAATTTTTTAATAATTTGTTATATAATTACTATTATTTATGGTCATTTGCATGTCTATAAATTACATCTCATGGATATAAAATATATATCTACCATGGACTGGACATTCAGTGGATATTGGGATGTTCAGTAGATATCCAAAGGATTTGGTGTGCTGTCTGGGGGGGGGGGTAACTAGGACAACTGTCATTTCAATTTCAACGCGCTTGCCATATAGATAGCTTGTCAGCTTAACTAGTTTAGTCGTGATTCATGACTTGAAGTGTTATATATTTGAGGTTAAAATATATTTTATATTTGAAAAAATGTGTTTTATTTGTTATTTAAAAAACTGACATTAGAATTTTCTCGTTAATGATGATATCTATTACTCATGCGCAAATCCTACTTTCCGTTAAAATCATCTATATTTGTTTTTGTTATGTTTCCTACCCTGAGTTTTAATTACACATCCATAAATATCATTTTTAACTTTTATTATTGGTAGGGGAGCCAGTGACATTTTTAAGTGTGTTATTTGCGCACGGCAAAATACAAATATTTTGAAATACTTTGCAGCGTCTTAAAAAAAGCCTGTTTAGAAAATGCCTTGTGCAAATGTATACTTATTAAAAATGTATCACTGGCTGCCCTACTATATAGACTAGATGACAGTTGCTTAAAGTAACGACGACAGGGGGTGAGGGGAATACAATAACAAATACCTCAACAGTTGTACCCTTTTATATGTAAATTGACGTGTTTCGCCAAATTTTCATAGTGTTATGAGTTAAAGAAATATTAAATGCTGTTCGTTTTGAAAATGTTACTTAACCGTTTGGAGGGCGACACTAACAACCGTATGCATAGTCGATCGCCAGCGACTCGCCAGAGATTCATTCCGGCGTTTCGCCAGCGATTCGCTGGCGATCCGCCGGCGAAAGCCCATTTCACGCAAGTTTTTATTTTCTTTTATAGCGATTATCACCGGTATCTCTCGCATTTTATTCATGATTCATTTCTTAAAACTCAAAAAATAATGAACGAATATCAAATTTTTCCCTATAAAAGAACATGAAAACTTGCGTGAAATGACATTCCGGTGACAATCTCTGGCAAGTCGCCAGCTTTTTGGGCTTTCGCCGGCGGATCGCCAGCGAATCGCTGGCGATCGACTATGCATACGGCTGTGTGTCATTTTAACAAGCATTGTTAAATGAACCACAAAATACTAGTGATGAACAAAAACCAATTACGCACTCGCACCCTGTACATAATTTAAATCCTTTTTTCACTACCAGCATTAGAAGATATCATTATTTATTTTGTTTTCAATTCAAGGAGATTAATTTATTTGCTAATTAGCCTTTTTCCTGGGAACATTTAAAAAAGATCCGCTAGGGGCAGCACCGGTGGGGGGTACATATGTTTTGAATTTTCTATTAACAACAATGTCAAACGTATAGATTTATAATGGAAATGAACGGAAAATGAGTGAAATTGAAAGTTACAAAAGTGCAAGATCAGAGGCTAAATCATTATTTAATTGGGATTCTTGATTACTATTAGCATTTTTATTGCTAATTTGTAGTGATTCAACATCAGTAACAGTAGAACAGATAAGTTTTTGATGTTTATTTTTTCCAGTGCTTGAGTCCTCTTCAATACATCGTTGCTGTCTTCTATATTTCATACACAATTAAGAAGAAGTTTAAGTTCATTATTTACTATCAATAATGATAATAATATGTAGACTGATATAAAATATAACCTCTTTAAATAAACAATAACTAACCTTTGAAACTGTCGCTGGCAATGGATTTGGGTTTTCTATTGTTGGTCCATTTAAATTAATAAAATGTCTTGTACAAATTAAAGTATGTTTTTTTTGTTTTTTCAGCTGTTAAATCTGCCCTTCGTGATAAATGTATCCACTTCAAACACTTTTTTTTGTCAACTTGTGGTTTTATAAAAGGCACAAATTTTACACCATCTTGCTTGTAACGATTGTCAGACGTACAATTTGCAAACGCACAATGTTTTGTAGGCATGACAATTTGTTTTTTAATTTTATTTATCACAATATTTATTTATTCTAATAATAATAAAACGTACGTTTGACGTTGTTGTCAATAGAGAATTCGAAACATATGTACCCCCCACCGGTGCTGCCTCTAGTGGATCTTTTTTAAATCTTCCCAGGAAAAAGGCTAATTGCTTTAATATAATCATTGATGACCTGTTAGTGGTTAATAATGGAAACAAATTGTTAGATGTTTACTGCTTAGTTGGCTAACGTATTTAAAATCATGTCGAAATAGTATAGTATACACCAAGGGACTGAAATTACACTTTTTATCCCGAGACGAAAAATTTCTAGCCCGACAGGAGGCAGGGCTACAATTCGTCGAGGGATAAAAAGACACTTTATTCCAGTGGTTTTTTTATATGCTATTTTATGCACTTTGGAAAAAAACTAAAAAAAAAAAAGAATGAAAATTGTGAAATACCACTTAACGTTACTCTAGTTACAAAGCAATGACGATGTCAGTGCAAGATTGTTATAGTATTGACGTTTATTGTACGTTGTACTATATTTTAGGTTATATGGTATAAGTTTATTGTAGGGAGTGCTATGAAGTATATTGTACTTTTAATCCCTGGGTAGTGAAATAGACATTTTAGTCCCTACAGTGCATAAAATGTAAAATTCTCCTTTGTAATACAACCACTTTTTAAAACATTCATTTAAAACGATGATTTCAAACTATAGGTACTATCAATAATTAAACAAATATATTTTTCGTAAATATTAATTGAAATTAACTAATAATTGTTTTTCAGCAAATCACCTTCATTTTTTGAAAAACAAAAAATAATTTGTCATATTTGTATTTACTAATGTAAATCGATTAATCAAAAAATTAAAGTGCTAGTAGTGAAAAAAGTGTATAAACCACGGTAGACAAAAATTTTATTACGTACAAATGTTTTCCCTACCATATTTTTTTTATATAATATACTAATAAACTAATAAATTCATTTTTACATATTTATCTTTTTTGTCAGACACTGAAACCTTCAGCACAATGTTGTACTCTATTATCGGGTGGGGGATATTTGCAACAATAACTAGAAACAACACCCATAGTCGCTAAAAATAAAGATAGCACTGAAAAGCCACAAACCGCACCAGAAGTCATGTCTGCCAGTGGCGTGCCTTTTTTGGGATGTTTGACCAATAAGACCAAAAGCGCCACGCAAGTTGAAAGGCTGAACACGCTGAGTATGATGTAACCTGTGAAATGATAATAAGTTAAATATAAAAAAGTTTATCTAAAACTATTTTCATTTTTTAATACAAATAGGTACTGTTATGGTCTTTTAGTAAAAATCAAAGATCATAAAAATGTTTTTCTAATTATGACATATAAAGTGACATTTGTTGTAATCGCAGCAAGTGTCAAAATAATCTACTTTACGAAACCAGCTGCATGATATTAAAAATTCATTATGTCACCAGTTGCGAAAAGAAAAGAAATAAAAATGAACCATATTTTGGTTTTAAAATCAATATAATATACATATTCTTATTAAAAGTTTATATCAGAAAGGGCAAGTTGATTTATAAAAATAAAATTTGGTTAAACTTAAAACCTAGTAATAATGTTGTTTTTGTCCTTATTTTCCATTGAAAATAAGCAAAAAAATTTGGAACACAATGCATGACTTTCTCGGAAATTAAATAACTCTAACAAGCAATATAAACACAAAAGTCGTTGAGTATAATTTAATATCTATTTGTCAATAAGAAGAATGAAGTTATGCATATGCAACGAGATATGCAACTAACAATACAAGAAAGAAATATTGTTTGCCTATATGTCAGAATTTTTTTACAGATACACAATTTTATAAATAATCTAGAAAAATAATTGTATGTAACACGTTACGAAATGCCGTTTTAAGCCAACATTATTATTTGAGGGACTTTCAGGTGTGCAATGCGACTCTTAATCAAGGCGTCATGTACTGTAACCTACGGGGTGACAATTTAAAAAAAAATGGATATATCTCATGATATCAGAAGATACTTAAAACCATTTATAGAATATGAAGAAAGAATTTAATAGGATGGTTCAATGGTATAATAATTAAAAATATATTTAAAGAAGATGACATGTTTATCAGAATTAAATATTTTTAAATATTCTGAAAAACAGATATAAAAACAAAAAAAGATTATATTAAACTTACCTGAAATATAATTTCTATTCGGTAACCAATACACATGTCTGCTCCTGAAGCCCAACAATCCCAATATTAAACAAGTGAATCCCGCTACTACCCCAAAATCCAAATAATATTGTCTCTCCATTAAATAAATCATATAAAAACACAAACTGGATGTTACAGCCCCACAAAGGACCATCATAAATGCAGCAAATGTTAATGTAGCTTGAATGGGATGCTTTTTAATACTCAAATTCGACCAAGAGCCTGACTTGGAAAAAGTAGTTTCGCTGTAGACGCTTTGAACAGGACTAGAACACATTGGAGCTACTATGGCCATGTGTCGTTTATCTTGTGAAATTTGCTTAGCTCCCAAAGTATAGTTTAGTTTTTGTTGAGCTTTTGGCGGATATTTCTTTAAATTTTGACGTACATTTGGTTGATATTCTTTAGAAATTGGAGAAAGATGAGGTGGCATCAATTTTCGCATTGACTGGGGGGAAAGTACTTGATTTGGTGATTTCTTTGGGGTAGAGAGTATCTCATGCAGCTTTTGAGTTGCTGCAGGATTCGCTGGACGTGGTGACTGATGAACGTAGTTCCAACTAAAAATAATTAATTCCTGTTTGTAATTATATTTGATTTGTATAATCTTTTATTATACATATAAATCCAGTTTTTACTACTTACCTAGGTTGAGGTTTTTGAGGGGTTGTTTGAATATATTCATATCTATTTAGGTTCTGCTGTTTTGACTCGTATCTATTTGGACTTTGTGTGAGGGATGGCCCATTCATAGGTTGAAATGGAATGTACTCGTATCTATTTTGGTTTTGTGTCACCATCTGTTGTTTAGTAGTGGCTGTTAAAGTATTAAGGTGATCTACTGGTACCAGAGCATATCGATTGTTTTGGTAGGATAGTTCAGTTTCTTCTTCAGCTTCGATCACGGCGTATCTGTAAAAGAGAATAAAAAAAAATGTAATTCATCTATACCAATATAGTTAAAGTATATATTGATGTTTCCGATGCTCTGACATTTCTGTTATAACGCTTGTTTTGGTTTGCTGATAAGGATTTCATAATATAATGAATTAAGAACATGTTTACTAATATAAGTCTCGTTATTACGGCTATTTAAAAAGTTATCAATGTTTTCATTATTTTGATTTAGGGCGGGCAAAGTGGAATGGGATGTGGCGGGCAATATGAAATTATTTCACATTGCCCGCCATGTTCAACAATGTTTTTTCCAATTCTTTGCATGTAAGAATGGTTCATAAACACCACAGAAAAAGTAATCAACAAGCATGGGAAGAAGACTGTATGAAGGCTGCGATAAATACAGTTAGGGAAGGTACTGCAAAAATTACCATAATCCAGTAGCAACATTATTTCTAAGATTAAAAAACCCTGAAAATCTACCATCGAAAAAATGTTTGGGACGCATTCGGACCGTATTTTTTTCCGAACAAGAAAACATCTTGGTTGAATATATCCTTACCATGGAATCTCGACTTTTTGGTTTGACGCTATCAGATCTCAAGTATCTTGCCTTTTAATTTGCGGAACACAATAAAATATCTAACCACTTTAATCAAAGACACAAAAAGGCAGGAAAGGACTGGGTAAAGGGGTTTCTAAGACGACATCCTGAACGCTGTCTACGGTTTCCCGAGAAAACATCTGCAGCACGGGCTTCTGCTTTCAACAAAGTTGAAAGTTTTAGTTTTATGACCTTCTTGAAGGATTATACGAATCTCATCACTATACTCCTGATAGAGTGTACAATTATGATGAAACTTGTATTAGCACAGTGCCGAACAGACCGTCAAAAATAATATCTCGAAAGGGAAAGAAGCATGTGGGTGTTTTGTCATCAGCTGAAAGAGGAACTCTAGTGACGGCCGAAATTTGCTTCAGCGCTACCGGATACTACATTCCTCCTTCACTTATTTTTCCGAGAGTTCAAACTAATTCATTGTTTGAAAAAGGCCTCCTTCCAAACACGAAATTTTTCACACATCCGTCCCGGTGGATGCAGTCAGAAATATTCGTGGAACGACATTTTATAAAATATTCCAAACTTACAGCTAAAGAGCGTATTTTGTTAATTCTCAACGGACATGCTACGCACATCAATAATCTGGAAGTGATGATGTTGACGAAGGAAAATAATGTTGATATTTTAGTACTACCTCCACACTGCACTCACCGCTTGCAGCCATTGGATGTGGCATTCATGTTTCCTCTCTCAGCTTACTATGAGCAGATTGCAAGGGTATGGCTGAGAAAGCATCCTGGTAAAGTGGTCACTATTCACGAAATTGGACACCTTTTTGGTGAAGCATATCTAAAGGCAGCCACCTTACAAATGCACTTTCAGTCTTTCAAAAAACAGGCATATACCCTTTCCAACGGGTTTTTCCTGATGATGCTTTCTCAGCTGCTGAAACAACTAATCGTTCACTTAGCAATGAAAACCTACCTACAACCTTAGCTAATGGAACAACTGATCGTTCGTTTTGTAATGAGAACCAACCCACAACATCAGCTGCTGAAACAATGCGTTGTAATGAGAACCAAGCTACAACATCCGCTCCTTCAAGCCGCCTTACAAGAACACCTCCAAAAATTGAACTTGTTTCACCTCATGACATTTTACATATACCTCATGTGGACAGCAGAAATAATGAAATTGCAAAGGGATCAAAAGAGCGTAAGAGTCATAAAGGTGTAACCGTTGTAGCTACCAGCACACCTTTTATTGACGAACCCAAAAGAAAAAAGGACGAAAAAGAGCAGAAGGAGCAAAAAAAGAGAAAAATCAGAAAAAAAAAGTCAGGAAGGAACAACTATTTGCCTCAGATACTGAGAGTGAAATGAGCCTGAAATTAGACGACAGTGATTCTAAGGAGAGCTTTTCAGATGAGAAACTGAAAACAAAATAGATACTAAACGGACTATCTTATCAGAAATGATTCATGAAAGACGTTGGATTGTGGTCCAGTATGAGGGATAATTTTTCCTAGGGCTGGTTGTAAATAAAACAACAGATAGAATGACAGTTAAATGTATGGAAAAAACTCAAAAATATTTCCGATGGCCTGCAAAAGAGGACCTGATGTCATATTCATATCAAGATCTCCATATGAATATAAACGAACTAAAATCATTACGAAGAGGTTTCTCAGTCAGTTTGTTAATATATAGACTAAAACCTACCTATTGTAGAAAAATATGCCTTATCACTTTTTAAAACAAAAATATTCAGTTATTTTTTAGTGAAAATATAAACTATGTCTTCATTTTGATAATAAAATAATATGTTTTGTGTTACTAAATTCATTAATTATGTTAAATGTTCCAGCTATTACTGCATTCCACTTTGCCCTCCCCAAAATTTCACTTTGCCGCACTAGTGCGGGCAAAGTGAAATTTTCAGGTCTTAAAGGCCAATAATATGTAAGTTGAATGAGCAATGATTTAATCTTTTTAGATTTATTTTTACTTTGCAAGAGCCATTCAAACGTAAACTATGTCACTTTGCCAGCCCTTCCCCTATACTATAAAGTGGATTTAACTTTCTATAAATTCGCAATCGCTCTAACAGGTAGATTTAAGAAACAGATAAATAGAAAACATAAACAATACTAACGTTGAAGGGTATCAAGCATTCCTAGATCTTATGAAACCCTTTAATTGACCATCAGGAATAAAAGTAAAAAAGTGTAGAAAAGAGAAGAATATATTCAAAACAGGAAACTGCAGTCAATATGTTTTCCAGTGAGAGAATACATAAAGGAGTAGTTAAATTACGTTATGTAAATATTTAATTAATTTATTTAAAAATAATTCTGACGCATTCACTGTTGGGTTCTAATAAACTATGCTGTACTAGCACTCCTGCACTATGGAGTATTAGACTACTAGTACAATCCATAACATATATAGAACACGAGGCTAATGACCTAAGTTGTCGAAGCCAAAACCAATGAAAAAAAAAAAAAAATACGTGTGGCACTCGGAGACTGCAGCGGTAAAGCTATTGCATAGCATTTTTTATCAACTTATGCAATTATAATTATTTATTTATTTTATTTATGCAGTATTTTTTTTTCTTTGATATTAATTCAAGTTTTTTCTTTGATGTTAATTCAAATTACACTTTTTGAGCGTGGTGACCGATAAGGAAACAAATGTTTTTCTTTTATTGAATAAATGAGAAGTTAATATTGTTTAAAATATTTTTATTATCTTACAATACATGTAGGTTATTCAAGAATTTTTATCTTTGAAACTATAGGTTTATGGTAACTGAAATAAGAAACATAAGTTTGAGACTTGATATCCTCTAAATATCTGGAAAATACCGCGTCAATGATCGTCCCATATTTTGTTGTAGATTCTTGTGGATCATTATTCATTTTCAAATTAAATTTTTCCGAAATTTTGTCTAAAAGAGATAGAATCAGTTATGAGCAGTTAGCAGCTAGTCTACACGCATACGTCTAGTCGCACACACACAAACACCGTAGTTAAGGAATACCTACACCACTGGTAGCTTTCCGTTTCATTCTACCTGATAAGAACCGGCATACCGATGTGTCAGGGATTCCCGGAATTTATCTGTGAAGTGAATTATTGTTAGATAAAGACTGATATTTTGTTGAATATTATTTTTATCATAACTTATCTATTAATATTACTAACTCGTATTTTTACCAGCATTTATCTTTTATATCTTAGTATTTTTCCAACGCATTATTATCACGTTCTTATTTTGTAACCTGCTATTCTAGAATAAAGTTGTTCTCTAGTTTATGAGTTATTCAAAATAATTAACCAAAAACCTTAAAAATATATATAATTGGCGCAGTCAGTAGGATAGTCCTGTACAAGAAGTGAGACATAGTGCCCTAGTGGATAGTGCCTTCGCGAATTGGTAGTTTTTAAACCTTTAACGGGACTTACCTCAAGTGAACATTTTTCGTTTCGGAAAAATTTGTGATAAAAAAAAACTGTTAAATAATTATATATTTATACAGAGACTGAACAACTCTGTCCTTTTTTTTGTGAAAATTAGTGCTGCAATCAAAGTACAACTACACATTACCGGGCAAGATTTTGACTTCAAGGAAGCTGCGGATCTGGAACATTTGCCAGGTTTTGACTTCAAGAAGCTGCGGATCCTGTCCAGGGTATTGAAAAATAAAGAAACTACATATCCAAACTGCGGGCGAGATTTTGACTTCAAGTAAGCTGCGGATCGAGTCTAGACAGGAGAATCGTTACATTAGAAATCAGGGTGAGAAATTTCTCTCATTTTCCTTTTTTATTATTTTAATATTCCTTTTGGTTTGATCAAAGTCAATTAATCTATCAATTAAAAATAGTTTAATCAATATTAATAATTAAAAGTTTAAAGGATACTGTTAAAAAAAATAAAAACTTTGGAAAACAATCTAAAAGTAGGGTAGATCAAGGAACAGATAGTAGTAGTGAAAGTGATATTGATTTATCTGATCTTCTTAAAGAAATTTCGGCTATTAAAAAAGAAAATATGGGTGAGGAATTTAATTACCAAGAAATGAATTTTTTTCTACATACTATTCCAAATTTTGATGGAGAACCTAATCAACTCAATAACTTTATAGATACTTGTGATGATGTCTTTACCTTCTATGCCAGTGCTACAAATTTAATAAAGAAGATGCTTCTTAAAAATATAATTAGTAAACTAAAGGCTCTAATATTAATTTCGAGTAGATCTGAGTTAAATAATTGGGAAGCAATAAAAAAGATGTTTTAAAAACCTCATTTAGTGATCAAAGCTCTTTTACTTGTCTTTTAAGTGAATTAAATAATTTGAAACGGTATCCAAGAGAAACCCCTCATGAATTTGCACAGCGTTGCCAAAATGTAAGAAGTCTGATATTTACTTCTATTAATAACAATGTATCTATGAATAATGATGCAAAGATTGCACAAATTGGAAATATCGAGAAATTACTTTTAACTACATTTTTAAAATATTTGCCTTGGTGTTAGCCTTAAGCAACCAGATTGTATAGAAAGAGCTTTGCAATATGTAATTGAAGAAGAACATTTTTTTTCTCTTGCAAATGAGAGTAAGAGAAATTTTCAAGCGTCTGCAGAGTCTAATAAAAGAGCTCCTTTTACTCAACACGCCTTTCGGACGTTTCCAAAAAATGACCGTCAAAATTTTACACCAAAAAATTTTAATTTCAATCAACAACTGTCTTGTAGAGATTCTCAAAATTTTTATCGATAATCTCCAAATAACTCGAATTTTCCTAGTCAACCAATTCGAGTTAACCCAAGACAAGTACCACAAAAATTCTTTACAAATCAGCAAGTTTTTGGTAAACAAAAACCTGAACAAACGAATGTTTGGAAGCCCAAAAATCAAACTCTTACTGATCAACCAATTCCAATGTCAGGAATTACTCGACAATCATTTAAACCAAAAATGACATTTCAGTCTCAATCAAGACCAACTTTCACTTATGAAGAATTATTCAATATAAATGATGATAGTACTAGTATATCAAACAAAAATGTTTTACTCAATGATAATGAGACATTTTCTGATTATGAACACCAGGACCAACATCAAAATTTTATCCCTCCAGCCTCTGGAAAGGAAAATACTTAGAATTACATAATATAGATACTCGTACCCTTCCTTAAGTTAAAATAATTGGTTTTGATAAACCTCTCAATATGCTTTTAGATTCTGGTAGCCATATATCCTTATTAAATCCTTATATAGCTAAACAGTATTATGCAAAATCTATAATATTTAAGCCAAATGTTATAAAAACTTCTTGTGGCGAACAAATAGCTAAATATGAAGCACATATTTCTGCTTTTAACGAATTTCAAACTAAAGAAAAAATTATTTTCACATTGTTTGATTTTCATCCATTCTTTGATGGACTTATCAGTTTTAGAGACCTAAGAAATATGGGATTTAATTGGAATTTACAAGAAAATTTCCTATTTAAGGATGATCTTATTATTCCTGTATATTTATGTTCTCCTTCAGATTACAGTAGCAACTATAACTTAAAATTAAATGAATTCGAAATTTTGAAAACAAAGTTACCTGTTAATGTTATTGAAAATGGAACGTATTATGTTCCACAAACCAAAATTAATTCACATTGTTACATTCCAAACTGTCGTAGAAATTCATAATGTTAGTAGTGACTATACTTATGTAAATCTTCAAGGCCCTTTACCGGTTTTTCCACTAAGTGAATTCGAAATATGTAAAGTAGAGTTTCATAATTTAACATCTTATCCTGATGAGTATCAAATTGAACATTTATTACGACTTGAACATTTAGATGAAGATGAAAAATATAAAATTATTAAATTATGTAAATAATTTAATACAATTTTTCAACACCCCAATGGACCTCTTTTATCTACTACTCGAACTACTCATGTTATTCGAACAACTGAAGAAGAGCCTATATACTCAAAACCCTATAGAATTCCAGAAATTCATAAAAAGAAAATTAATAGACAAATAGAAAAAATGCTAGAGGATGGTATTATTCGTAATAGTACCAGTCCCTGGTCCAGTAATGTCTGGATTGTAAAAAAATGTCTTGATAAAAATATATATAATTCCGTGCCGAAGTCTGCCGAACTGAAACGACGTTAGACGATGCACAACTTTTGACGCCGCACCGCTGTGCCGGTCGGAGTGGGGGTGTTAGGTTTATTTTTGTTACGGAATTTCTTTTTTTCGATTTTTAGATTTTTCGATTTTTCGATTTTTTGATTTTTCGATTTTTCGATTTTTCGATTTTTCGATTTTTTGATTTTTCGTTTTTTCGATTTTTCGATTTTTCGATTTTTCGATTTTTCGATTTTTCGATTTTTCGATTTTTCGATTTTTCGATTTTTCGATTTTTCGATTTTTCGATTTTTCGATTTTTCGATTTTTCGATTTTTCGATTTTTCGATTTTTCGATTTTTCGATTTTTCGATTTTTCGATTTTTGATTTTTCGATTTTTCGATTTTTCGATTTTTCGATTTTTTGATTTTTCGTTTTTTCGATTTTTCGATTTTTCGATTTTTCGATTTTTCGATTTTTCGATTTTTCGATTTTTCGATTTTTCGATTTTTCGATTTTTCGATTTTTCGATTTTTCGATTTTTCGATTTTTCGATTTTTCGATTTTTCGATTTTTCGATTTTTCGATTTTTCGATTTTTCGATTTTTCGATTTTTCGATTTTTCGATTTTTCGATTTTTCGATTTTTCGATTTTTCGATTTTTCGATTTTTCGATTTTTCGATTTTTCGATTTTTCGATTTTTCGATTTTTCGATTTTTCGATTTTTCGATTTTTCGATTTTTCGATTTTTCGATTTTTCGATTTTTCGATTTTTCGATTTTTCGATTTTTCGATTTGATTTTTCGATTTTTCGATTTTTCGATTTTTCGATTTTTCGATTTTTCGATTTTTCGACTTTTCGATTTTTCGATTTTTCGATTTTTCGATTTTTCGATTTTTCGATTTTTCGATTTTTCGATTTTTCGATTTTTCGATTTTTCGATTTTTCGATTTTTCGATTTTTCGATTTTTCGATTTTTCGATTTTTCGATTTTTCGATTTTTCGATTTTTCGATTTTTCGATTTTTCGATTTTTCGATTTTTCGATTTTTCGATTTTTCGATTTTTCGATTTTTCGATTTTTCGATTTTTCGATTTTTCGATTTTCTTTTATTGAACAAATATGTTCATATTGTTTAACGCCGCACCGCTGTGCCGGTCGGAGTGGGGGGTGTTTTTTTTTTGTGTGTCATCGGCTTCAACTTAAGGTTATTTCGCCTCGTGTTCTGTGTAGGCTTTGTTACTGTTTCCCAGCGCCACTTTAGGAACAGCACTGTTAATTAGAACCCAACAGTGAATGGTCGAGTGGGGAATCTTACCAAGGCATCAGAATTAATTTTAAATAATTAAATTAAATGAAAAAATTCCGGGATTCGAACCTGGGACCCTTGGATCCACAGGCAGAGACTCTACCACTGAGCCACCCACCCCCCAAGTGGGGGGTGTTAGGTTTTTTCGTTACGGTTTCGTTTTTTTCTTGATTCGGTGGCCACGCTCAAAGCCCGCGATAAAAGCTATGCAATAGCTTAAAAATTATGGGATGTCATACATTGCGACCTAAAAATATCTATTGGGTCTTTTTTTGTCACTAAGACGGCAAGGTCTATGACGGCCCTTCCAATGCTATTTTCCCAAGGAAGTTTAGGATTAGAAGTGCTGTGTGATACTGTAGTGTTACACATTCCGTCAGAATGTAAATGGAGGTTTCGTCCTTCTCCTCCTCACAAAATCTGCATGCACTAGCTTCTACTAGTCCAAGTATACTAAGGTGTCCCTTGCGACGGCTATGCCTAGTAAGAACTCCAGTTACTATATGTAGCTTATTCTTACCAAGAAAGATACATGCTTTGGATATTTCCTGTTTATAATAAGTATCTCAAGAAATTGTTTCCATTGCCAGTTCTTCCTTCCAATTATTTTCAATGTATAGTAATATTGTGATTGAAATTTTTTGTCATTTGTAACAAATAACTCTCTGAATAGAAAATGAAAATCGGTAAAGACAAAATGATGTAAAATCGTGGGTTAGTGTACTCATATTTATAATCTTGTATTCTTTATTAAAATACCTGTTTTGTAATACGTGGTAAATTTCTTATCAAAGTTGTAATGGTTAGAAGGAAGGAAGGAGAGGAGAGATGGATAGAAAAGCATATAATGACAGTAGACAGTAATTTAATGCCAACAATCTGTGGTGAAAAAACCTAACAGAGGTGCCATATGCAATTATTACAATATTTGCCCACCACTGAAAACAAAACCTTATCTAGTAACCTCCAAAAAATTTTTCAAACTTTGGTGCAATGATATCACAGCATTCTTCACATATTAAATTATTGTCTAGAGAATATTATGGAGACGAACAACAGGTAATGAACTTAAAAAGCACCTATGAAACATGATGTTATGAAATGGATTAAAAGATCTCTGTGAACAAGGAAATTTTACTGATGGGTAATCAGTCAAAGAAAAACGTATTTTGTTACCTACCTGTGAAATCTTCCAGGAGCAACTTCCACGTCTTCAAGATATTGAGCTCCTTTAGGTGGAGAAACATTTTTTTCTTTCATTTGAATATATTCGTATCGTTGACTTTGAGATCTAGATAATTTTGGTTTTGTAGGAGTAGGTACTTCATAACGTGCTCCTTTCCTATCGTCAATTTGAGGTAGCCCGTATCTGCTGCCTTGCCGGACATCATTTTGGGGAATCTATAAGAAAATAGTTTATAAGAGATTGAAAAATTCTTAACACTAGCATTGTATATACAGATTCGGAAAGAGTAGTAAAAGAGAACACAAGAGATATTATGATCAAATAACTACTAAGAGAAAAAGCCCTTTTAGCGTAATACTATAGATATATATATATTTTATTTCCGAATCCGCACAACTTAAAAATTTGTAAGATGAGCTATACCACTACTATTCCACTAATTAAAAAGAGCTATACCACTACTATTCCACTAATTAAAAAATCTGATGTGTCCGACACATGATTTTCCTATCTACTTATTATAAGCTTTTTCCGGTTATTTTGTACAACCTATTGCAGCACCTCTATACATGTTTAGAGGGTAAACTAAATATATACATTTTCCAAATACATCTACCTCGAAACAGTTTTCTATAGATATTCATTGAAAACGAAAATACTGAAAAATATAAATTTAGCACGTTTCCTACAATTTTTCCATTACGGTCCATTTTAGAAAAATCATGTATAAACAAAAATTATAGAGATCGATATCGCAAACAACTTTTAGTCCAACAATTTTCGTAAATATCAGAATTTTGCACATTTTGTCAAATTTCTCGAATATGGACCATTTCAGGAAATTTTGACATTTAACAAAAGTTATAGATAATAATATATTCCATAAAATATAAAAACGGCCTCCCATCATAAAGTACCCCCCCCCCAGATGTTCCAACTTTGTCCAAAATCTAATCATTTCACGTCAGGCCGAAATAAAACTTAAGTTTAAAATTTAATGTTTTTTTCTTTATCCGTTTTTGAGTTTTCTTCAAATTTCGAAATTTACACATTTTCTCAAATATCTCGAATACGGTCCATTTTAGAGAAATTATGCATAGCATAAAAATTATAGAGAATTATATTACAAACAACTTTTATTTAAATTTTTTTTATAAAAAAAATATTTTTTTACATTTTGTCAAATTTCTCGATTTCTCGAATATGGACCATTTTAGGAACATTTTGTATAGAACAAAAAATTATAGACAATAATATAGAAAGTAACTTTTATTTGAAGAATTTTCTTCCCCAAACGTAAATAACAGATATATTACATAAAATATAAAAATGATCACCTATGAAGTACTCCCCCAGATGTTCCGACTCTGCCCAAAATCTAATCAGTTCATTAGACGCTGGAATAAAGCTTAAGTTTAAAATTTGGTGTTTTTCTGTGTATCGGTTCATGAGCCGGAACGAAGTACACACACACACACACGCACGCACGCACGCACGCACGCACGCACGCGCGCACGCACGCACGCACGCACGCACGCACGCACGCACGCACGCACGCACGCACGCACGCACGCACGCACGCACGCACGCACGCACGCACGCACGCACGCACGCACGCACGCACGCACGCACGCACGCACGCACGCACGCACGCACGCACGCACGCACGCACGCACGCACGCACGCACGCACGCACGCACGCACGCACGCACGCACGCACGCACGCACGCACGCACGCACGCACGCACGCACGCACGCACGCACGCACGCACGCACGCACGCACGCACGCACGCACGCACGCACGCACGCACGCACCCACCCACACACACACACACACACACACACACACACACACACACACACACACACACACACACACACACACACACACACACACACACACACACACACACACACACACACACACACACACACACACACACACACACACACACACACACACACACACACACACACACACACACACACACACACACACACACACACACACACACACACACACACACACACACACACACACACACACACACACACACACACACACACACACACACAGTCATCATCGCGAAAATAGTCAAAACGAATTTAGGGGATCTCAAAACGTAAAAATCCGTCGAAAACTCGAGGTCGAAACAAATCATGATTCCTATACTTTCCTTATATCTGTATACAGATAGGAAAGTAAAAAAAGATATGAGTATATTTAAAACCGTAACCATTTTTAGAACTACCCACCCAAGACCTATTTTTAGAGCCCCACCCCATTTCTTATGCTATTTTTGTGAGGTTAATGTAAATGTCAATGTAAATGTCAATGTAAATGTCTATATAATTGATAATAGACGGATTTGAGTGGGAAATTAAAAAACAAAAACATAAATATTATAAATAAACACGTAAAATAATAACTACATGTAATTATAAAAATAAACTTATGAAAATTATATATATTTTTTGTGTACTTTTTAGATAAATCAAATCTGCCGAGATACTAGTTCAGAACAACGAAACAACAGAAGAATTTGAAACTAAAAGGATGTGAATTTTTAATACCATTCAAAATTCATTCAATACCTATTCAATAACAGATCCATCATTCACAGACGACAGAAGAAACTTTCAATGTCCAGATCTAGATGATCGGTCCTGGATTTAGATGACCGACTACAGGTGTCAGATAAAACTCACGGTTCTTAGGTACGCAGGATAGTTTGGACAGTGGTGCGATTAAAGAGGAAATTTGAAAAAGAAGATACATATTGAAAACTATTAAATTATATTAAACTTACTACACGTTGATGACCTAAACCTAGAAGCATGACCTATAGTAACATCTGAGTTATTAATAAAGCCGAAATTCCAAAAGGGATTAAAATTGAAAGTAGTTTTTAGTGCAGGACTCAAGATAAGGTATAATTTGTAATTTTTTTTTGCAATAAAGAGATGCTTTAAGAAGTAGTAAAAGAGCAGTTATTCTAAAGAAGTTTTTAACATACATTGATTGATAAAAAATTACTCCCTTGACTAATACTGCAATAGTAGTTGAAGTATATTAAAAGAAAAACAGCAGAGATTCAAATTTATTTTCAAAACCCAAACTTTGATTTTGCTTACTAAGGAAAACCTATTCTTGGACCGGTTTCCTCCTCATTGCAACTCATCAGCAAGTAATAGACATTCTCTGGGACAGACATGTATTAAATTTCCTCGTTCTCCTGGCTATTGGTTGTATGAGGATAATACGTCATAAAGTAACACATAACTGCCAGCTCTAATAATCGTGCAAAATCATCTTTACTTCACAATCATCGTGTATGTTATTTGCGTAAGATCTACATTTATTTTGAACTTAAAACAATTATTTTCACTTATTTATCCCTTTCACTTACAATAAATAAAAACCTTTAAAAGACGTTTAAAAAACTTTAAATAATTTATTTGACGTTTAACAATGTTTCACAGTTTACGAACATGGCTCTCTCTCTAGTGAAATCGTGAAATCAGTACCCGTATCCTATAAAAGAAGCTCAATAAGAAATGTATTGAATGTTTTTAACAAAACTGATATTCTAAAAACCATTAAGGGTCTCGACTTAAAAAAATTATAAAGTGAAAGCCGCAAGTCGATCAGCGGTTTTCTATATAGAGTTATCGGCCACACACATATACGCTAAGACGACCACACGAAATATTTTTTTGGCTTTTGGGACTTAAAGTGATCTGACAAGAATGTTAAAAAGTATATTCTAGTAATGTTCCTAACCCAATAAATGTGATTAGGTATAACTTTTAAATACGAGAGGATATTGGTATCTAGTTAGCCTGGAAGGGTTCTGGTAAACAAAATTGAATATGGATTATTTTTGTATAAATTTTAATAAGGAAAATTTTGGTTATACTGTGAATCCTGTGAGTTTTTTTTTTTTCATTATAAATATATCCTAATAAACAATCATTTAAATATAGTACAAATAAAAAAAGATTTGGCAAAATATTCAGTAAGAAATACTTTGCTAAATTCAACAAATTTTTAGAAAGCATTTGTAATCACAAAAATTAAGGAAAAAATAAAAAGTTATAGATCAAGCAGGAATTAAGATATCAAGATAATTACTAGTCATCCGCAAATAAACAGCAAATGAGGGTTATGTTATGTTGGGAATGGGGTGTTAATACACTGCGACTTAAAAGATCTATTGTGCCCCCTTCTGTCGCTAATGCACCAAGGAAATGTCTCAATGCCTATAACGACCCTTCCAATCCTATCTTCTCAAGGAAGTTTATTATTTGAAGAGGCTTTAAGTTAGGTAAATCTCTCTCTTCTATTTGATATCCTCCTAGGTATAGTGTCCTTGGATTCTGGAATGCTACACATTCAGTTAGAATGTAAGTGGAGGTTTCGTCCTCCACCTCACAGAATCTGCGCTCACTATCCTCTACCACTCTCAGTTTACTAAGGTGTCCTTTTAGTCGGCAATGCCCGGTAAGGATCCCTGTTACAATACGTAGCCTGTTCTTGCTCAGGCAGATGCAGGCTTCCGATCTTTTCTGGTTATATTCACCCAGAAGTATCTTAGCCTGTCTTAGCCCTAAGACATTGTTCCAATTATTCCAGTAGAACTGCCCAATTCTTTTTTAATCTCTCCTAATATTATGTTACTGGTGATACCGCAGAACGGCTTCTTGCAAGACTATCTGCAATCTCGTTACCCTGTGAGGTTTCATCTTATTTTATGTGACAAAAGTAAAAAGATTTATAAAAACAATAAAGTTAGCCAAAGATACATATTAGAACTGCGGAATACATTTTAGTAGGATACTGTTGGGTTCTAATTAACAGTGCTGTTCCTGAAGTGGCGCTGGGAAACAGTAACAAAACCTACACAGAACACACATGAATGAGAATTTAAAGCACAAACTTGAGACTGGCATATTAGATATGTACACCTAGGCCATAAATCGAAAAAAAAAAATATCGAGAATATATCGCTATATAGGAGGACGGCCCAGTCAAATATTTTTAAATCGGAATAAGAGGTGGCGATAACCATGGGCCTTTAGGCGATTTTAAATCAGTTACTAGAAATGTGACCAAGTCAAGTGTGGTCAAGGTTCTTACGTCATTATAATGACGTTCTATTAATCTGATTTAAAAATGTTTGGTTTATATCAATGAGGTTGAATACTATGGAG